AAAAGGAAAAATATTCTAAGATTCAAAAAGTCAAATCCCAGTAAGTTCTATCGTAAGATGCTATTTTCTGTAATCACACGTATTCTACATTACACGTATGATCAATATAACAAATGACCAACCTTTAATTGCGCAATGCCTATTAATTGCACAATGCTTCTAAATTGCACAATAATCAAATACTTTGGTAATAGTCAAGTTATATTTGGCAATTATTACCAAATGATTTGCCATTTATCAGACCACTCAATTGGTTCAACTAAATGAAGAATTTGTTTTACTAATTATTTTGTAATTATTTACCGGATAGTTGGTAGCTGCTATTATACCCGATACTAATTACAAAATGTTGCACTGAAAACCAAATACATTTGTTAACTATTACAAGACTTTCTTTCTCAATGTACTACAAATAAAAGACGAACCATTCTCTAACTTCTCCAACTTTAACAATAAACTTTCTTGTATTCTCTGACTTCAGGAATGTTGTACTTAGAATATCTCCCATTTAGTTTTAGAAGAATCCTCTTGAGGCTATATATAAGAGGATCTCGCTAAGGGTGAGATTATATCTTACCAGGTGTCTGCGTACAATTCCGCCAAAGAGTAAGAATGAAGAGAAGAAAATATTCGCGTATTTACCTGCATTGCTGACGGCTTTGTCGAGCGTGTTTTAAGAGTTCGCTCGAACGTGATTGCAGCCACTTACGTGGCGGGTTTTTTGCCGGCGACACACGCTAATTAGAATTTGTGTCACGAGTCTCGCAGGTGTGAGAAAGAGAGAGAGAGAGAGAGAGAGAGAGAGAGAGAGAAAGAGAAAGAGAGATGTGCCCCAAAGGCCCGGTTGACGGAAGAAAGACGCAGTTGAGAGTCATTCTCTTCCTTTTCCTCTTTCCTCTTCCATTCTTTCTCGTGGACATGAATCTCTCAGATCGCGGCGTGGTGCACCAGCCGCGCAAATCGAGCTTTCTCGCACTTGAAAGATTGGCTGCGCGATTTTTGCAAACATTTGCTCGGTGTGATCGATCCGACTGGGACATTTTGTTCGCAGCTCGGACTCCAAACCAACCATTAACGATAGCGGTCGCTCGTTTTTATTATTTTCCCTTTTTTATGATAATGGCGCGCGACTGGCGAGTATCTTTATTTAAATGCGCGATCGCCGAGTTTGTCCCGAGAGACAGGATTGGTGATCCAAGTCGCGCGAAATGGGACCGAAACGCCGCGGCGAAATCAATGTCGGATCCGTCAGCGCAATAAAACTGGCCCGGTCGCGTGCGCGGAAAAAAAGAAAAAAGAACGCCGTTGTCGGTTATATATGAGGGAATTTGCAAAGCAGATTCCCTCGGATTTCGCCGGCGCTCGCGAATTTTTATTCCCGCCGCCCTTAGTGCCCGTCTAGTTTCGAGGCTCCGCTTTAATCCCGCTGCTTTTGACATGCGCTCTCGGCTCGCTGACTTTTCGCGCGATCTGCGTGTGGAAAATCGCGAGCGCGCGAGGAAATAAAGCACGATCGGCGCGAAAAAGGTCTGCGTGCATATTCATTGTTAGCGCGAGTGTCGCGAGACGAGGCGACCTTTGCCGACGAGCGCGAAGAATAAACCGATAGAAAGAGAGAGAGAAAAAGAGAAAGAGAGAGGGAGGAGGGGGAGAGAAAGAAAGATGCAGACAAAGAAAGGAGGGAGGGGGAGAGAAAAATATCCAGAAAATTACAAAGTCAATAAGAATCTCTCCTTTCCCCTGCGCTGGATGTTAGTGCGAATAATTATTAGGAGAGAAGAATAAAGATGCATTTTACGCCCGGCAAGTGAGGAGGTCCAAGTGCTAGGCATCAATCATGAATTTTTTCACGTAAACTCAATTTTAATTAACGTTTTTCATGTTTTTTCCCCTACTATGAAATCGTGAGATGCAAATAATTTTGCAGTACTCGTGAATCTCTTCCTTCAATGTAAACTCGTGAAAAGTAAACATTCTCATGTATTTTCAAGTCAGGCTCTTCACTTTCCACGAGTCGACGCTTGGAAAAAGATTCGCGATCGACGTCCTGACGCGATCCTGACTGATGCAGTATTTCTCGCAGCTTTGAAAATGAATCATATAACTGCACCATTAAGTTGGAATAAGGGTTGATTAAAATAATAATAATAATTATATAAAATAATAATAATTGGGATTCACGGTTTAACGTTGAAGGCAGATTCACCGCGTGCGTTGTAAGACCGGAAAAAAATTTCGACGCGCACGTTTGATACAGTCAAACATCATTATCCTGTCACTCTAATAATTTTTCGCATTAACGTCTAGCGCACAGAAGAAGAGGCTCTTATTGTGCTTGTAGCTATCTTAATATAGTTGTGTACCACGCGATCCTTGGATATGTAGTTTAGAGGAGGATATCATCAGGAAAGGATATCTTCCGTGAAGTCACCGGGAAGGAAGAAAAGGTTACGATAAACGCTGCCAGCAGCATAAAGCGCACTCGTAATTAAGCGACTTACCGAACTTTTTTCGTCGCGACTCAGTTCAGCGGCGAAAAGGAAGAATTTCGAGGCGCAAGAAAAAGATTGATGCAAAATTTCCCGTACCTCGGCAGAACCTTTGGTCCCGGAAGTCATGCAGACGACGCGACGCTTAATTACCGGTGAAAGATTAAACGGCTTCTGCGAGAAGCTGCTTATTCGTCTCGGGCTGGGCGGCCATCTTGCTCAGGATTTCGCGCCTACACGCCCGCGCCTGCGCGGCGAGTAAAAAGTGCACCAAAGTGCGTATACTTTTGGCTTAAAGGCCTCCACATATGAATTATCGCAAACATATGACGTAAACTTGAGCTGGACAATCAATCAGAAGAGGAGAATAGAAGCGACAGGAATTTAGAATATAATGAATTACTATAAGAACTACTGCAGGTGTAATTTTTGGGATTAATCATTGTTTGTTAAACATATTGTCGCGTTGATTATTTCTTGAAGGGGAAAGATCAACGCGACTGTCACTCACTTTCCGAAAGTGATCTAGCAATCTCCTAGAACTTAGAAGGATATGTATTGAGATTCACTATAACATTAGAACACGTTACTTACGCGTTCGTCAACTTGATTTCTGTTTGTACTCATGTTACATGACTCACTTCGCAGTTTTTGATCGATCAGCCGTTATGGTGGTACGATTATCTGTGGTCTGTTGTTTTCAGCTGCACTGCTGAGCTGGTGCAATAAGTTAGAATGAGAAAAAATATACTTGTCTCACTTTAACTTATTGCAGTTCAGCAGTGCAGCTGAAAAGAGCAGACCACTGGCTATCACTCAACTAGAGGCGCGGCCTATTGTAATAATACACGGCTACTCTCGCTGCCCGTGCACTTGCCGCGAGATACTATCATGTCTCTTAATTGTAAATATAAGCAAATTAAATCTGCAATCGCGACTCTTATTGTTTTTCATCATTATGTATTTCTGCTTAGTCTTAATCAAAGAGTCTAACAATTGCACAGTTGACGATAGAGACTGGATGATAGAGATTTATTTAGCGACAGAGACTTGTCAGAAGATAGAAATTTGACCATTAGCCAAAATATCGATCGATATATTCGATTGATCGAAATCCTAGTTACTCGATCGAGAGATTCTAGTTACTTCCATCTACGGCGATCCACTTCCAGAGTGTTTAAGCTTAAAGAAATAGCCCGAGTTTTCCCCAACTTAATTTTCCGTCTTGCCTTTACGGTTACGGTAATTTGCATGCGAATACCCTAAAGTCGGCTCGCTGGTCAGTGTTGAGTGCGTTTCCAGACAGCTATTGCGACTTCAGCGCCGTCGGTGGCGGGAGGAAAAGCTTCAGAGCAAGAACGTGAAGTACGCAAAACGGAGGCGGAGGTTGTAATTTATTAATGTCTGGAGTGTAATTCGTCGCTCCTTAACGCAAATAGCTTCCAAGCGCGAAGAGGAAACACTGTGTATACGTAGCGCCGTTGGTTCGCAGGTATAAGCAGGAATTTAAATGAGGGTGTGCGTTTTATTTGTCAGGTTATTCAACGGCAACCATTTTTGCGACATAATTTGACCGCGAAACGCCATAGTCCGCGGTACTTTGTGGAATTTTTCTGCTACTCGCGGTTCTTCGTACGAATTATTGAGAAATTTTTATCCTATCTTCGACTTTAGTATTCCTATTAATACCTGCTTCGATATTCTATATCGGTTTCTTTTGATTCTATTTAATCTGCTAACTGCTAGAACCTACAAGCAGCATTTTGTGCGTTTGTCATTTGTTTCCTGTCATTGAGAAGCACTAAGTAAAAATTTAACTTCCACGTCGAATTTAACATCCTCGAGTCGAAATGTTGATCCTACTTTTGGCTTCAATAATACCATTTAACGTCTATTTTGATGCTCTAAAGCCTACATTAACCTCCTTTGATTCTATTTCACCTACCAACTCTGTGCAGAGAAGATTCTCTTTAGAGATCCTTTTTAGAACCTACAAGTGCATTTCCTACCATTCAGATGCGCTAAGTAGAATTTCGGTTTCTATATTAGTGTATTAAGCATAAGCACTGATCCTTCAGAATATACAGATATTAGAAGGTTCAGATTGAAAGGGAGAAGTGGGGCTAATATGTCGACTCGAGCAGTCCGATTGCGCTCTGGCGAAAATAAGGAAGGCTCAACATCGACCAGCGCATCTTCCCCGTGGCTCGCGCGTTATGACGTTATCATCTCGCGTTATGACGCGTCATCTCGTGGAAAGGAGCCAAGGAGAGCTGCATTTCTGCGGGAAACAACTGCATTGATTAATCGACGCTGAAGGCCGTCGCATGGCTAACGAAGAAAGTATCGCGCGCGCGTCTCATCGCCGTGGAATCTTGAAATTTCTCAATACTTCGTCGTCGTGTCATTATGCAATAAGGAGATATGTGCGCGTAGCTTCTTACGGAAATAACACGTGCATGACGTATGAACGACGAGGTAATCGAAGAATCGTCGGATTTCTGTTTGCAGAAGGTGGACCCCGAGCTGATATTTACGAAACAAGAGCGAATCGGGAAGGGTAGCTTCGGCGAGGTCTTCAAGGGTATCGACAATAGGACCCAGCAGGTCGTGGCCATCAAGATCATCGATCTCGAGGAGGCGGAAGATGAGATCGAGGACATCCAGCAGGAGATAATGGTGCTGTCGCAATGCGACAGTCCGTACGTCACCAAGTATTATGGGTCTTACCTCAAGGTAAGTGGTAAAAATGCGGCCGGGTCTGTCTCGTAATCGATCGCCATCGCGACAGCTTCATCTCGGCTGCGTTCGGGGAGACGCTATTTAGCGCTATGAGCGTCCTTTGTCTTTGTTCAACTTTCAGGAACAAACAAGGACAGAGCACACTCATAGCGGTAAATAGCATCTCCCCGAACGCAGCTCTCGTCTCGCCAAGTTGACGAAATGAACGGCGCCCTGAGTGTATGAAGTTGGCACCCCACTTTTTGAAATTTATAATTTTGAAAGTTGTTCCAGATTGTTCTGACTTTGTACCACATTGTTCCAAAGTGATATTGCTTCATTCGAAACGGTTTTCGAATAAAACAAAAAAAATAATTTTTTGAGCTGGCACCCCACTTTTCGAAAATCGAACATTCTGATACCGCAATAGATTGTTCTAGTTGTTCCAAATATTGTTCCAAAAGGACAAATCCGCAAGTTGAATTATAAGTCCAAAAAATGAAAAAAAATGTTTTTGACCTGGCACCCCATTTTTTGAAAATAAAGCATTCCGATACCGATATAGATTGTTCTAGTTGTTCCAAACATTACTGTCAAATCGATTTTTTTATAAATTTTTGGAGAACGAATGATCTTATGAGTCTCATACTCTAGAACTACAATTCTTAAGCCTAGAACAACTCAGAACAAAAAAGATAGTATAAGTTTACTCTTGGTCCGATAGACTGTTTGTCAAAAAACTTTTTTTTAATTTTTCGGCTTATAATTAAACTTATTGATTTGTGTTTTTGGAACAATGTTTGGAACAACTAGAACAATCTATTGCGGTATCAGAATGTTCGATTTTCGAAAAGTGGGGTGCCAGCTCAAAAAATTATTTTTTGTTTTATTCGAAAACCGTTTCGAATGAAGCAATATCACTTTGGAACAATGTGATACAAAGTCAGAACAATCTGGAACAACTTTCAAAATTATAAATTTCAAAAAGTGGGGTGCCAATACACTCCGGCGCCCTCGCGTTCCCGATAGTTCCTGGGCGCGCGATCGGCCGGTCAGTTTCGCCGCGAAACAAAACACGTGCTCGTCGCGGCACTCCTCTCTTTTCTCCCTCCCTCTCTCTCTCCGCTCCTCTTCTCTTTTTTTGTTTTTTCCATCGTTGTTCCGTCCCAATGAATCGCCGCGATAATCGCACCGGTACAAAAACAAAAACCCATCGTGCGTTATCGAGGGCACTTGGCCGTTACGCCCCGTCATTTTTCATACAGCAAAGAATAGGAAGGGCTTGACGATCAGTTAACTATCGCTTCCGGCCTGACCGTGTCTCCTCGTCGCTTCCGTTTCCTGTGAACGAGTTCAGCGAGCACGATAGGGAATTACCGTAAATCCGCGTATTTACCTCAAAGAAATACTTGTACATTTATTTGTTAGATACAAAGTTCATTTTTATGAAATAAAATTTATTTCTGTGAATAAATTTTTAAATATTTTTTTCCCAGTATAGGAACAGTGTTGGTCATTAATTAAAATTTTCTATGATTAAATCAACGATAACCAACCATTATATATGTTATCATAAATAATTTGATCGACTGATGAAATTAATTGATCAATGTATAATCAATCATAATTAATCGGCGAAATTATTTCTGATTTTATATGTCGACTGGTTAATTTGATTAATTACTAATTAACAAATTATTTTAGTCAAAGAGAATTTTAATTGATTAATATTCAACACATTAATGGATATTGAATACACTGATAGATATTGTACACATTGGGATATTAAAATTTTCCGCAGCTTGATTAAATTAATTATAATTAAACGCATTTTCGCAAAATTACGCGTAAGATTTCAAGGATCATAGAGATATTCCATATCCTGCAGTCAACTTGTTAATTCGTTGACTCGTTCGAAGGAATTTAGAGTTTGGGAATTCCGGATTGAATGAAATTCAGTATGAAATTATTACTTGTGTGAACTTGGCACACCATATTTAAAAATGTGACATTTTTTTTAGGGTTCTGATACTCTCTTGAAAAGTTCTAGAGCTCTATGCAACAATTTTAAATAGTTCCGGTCATTAAATACAAAAAAATAGACTTTTAAGAAAAGGTGCGCTAAGTTTACGCAAAAATTATATAGTGTCCGAGATCCGAGGTACATTTACGCGATCTCGGACATTATATAATTTTTTATAAATAATTTATTACCGCAATCGCGCAGAACTCTTTATATTTTCATTCCCTGATTACAAATGAACGCTGAAAATATTTTTAAACCGACAGAACTCTCAAAGCGCAGGTAGCGCACCCCACCTGCTCGTAGATGTACGCGACTTCGAATACTATACAATTTTTTATAAATAAATTATTACTGCTGTCGCGCAGAACTCTTTGGATATTCGTTTTCTGATCATAAGTGAACGTTAAAAATATTTTTAAACCAATGGAACTCTCAAACTGCGGCTCAAACTGCGGCTCAAACTGCGCATCCCAGCTGCTGGTACATTTACGCGACCTCGAACACTTTATAATTTTTTATGAAGAAATTATTTCTGCTATCGCATAAAACTCTTTATATTTTCATTCCCTGATTACAAGTGAATGTTGAAAATATTTTCAAATATGCAGAACTCGCAAAATAGTGTTAATCTCTCTTATTTTGTTGTCCGTATTTCACATTTTGTGAATTAGGTCTTTGCAAATCGACTTTTCGCTTTTAATTAGTAGAATTATTGTTATATATGATATAGAACTCTAGAACTATTGTAAAACAAACCGGAACTCTAAAGAAATAGTTAATTTAACTGATTAGGTGCGCTGCGTGAACTTAGCGCACCTTTTTTTAAAAGTCTATTTTTTTGTATTTAATGACCGGAACTATTTAAAATTGTTGCATAGAGCTCTAGAACTTTTCAAGAGAGTATCAGAACTCTAAAAAAAATGTCACATTTTTAAGTATGGTGTGCCAAGTTCACACAAGTGAAATTATTCAGTATTTCTGATGCTGGAAATATGTCGTAAGAGATGCTTGATGCTGCAGGAGAAAGCATCCGCGCGCCCGCGGCAAATGCGATCCTACGCCATTTGTACACAAGACGCATGCCGAGAGAGAGAGAGGAAGAGAGAGAGAGAGAGAGAGAAAGGAAGAGAGAATCATGCCGATCAACGGGATCGAGATCGGGCGCCTCGCGGAAAGGTTGCTCGATCGGGCGCGCGCGGTCGTTGGTTTGCATAAGTCGCGCGTTCCGCCGCGGCGAAGTCGGTGAACCACGAAGAGTTACGTTTCACGCGATCGTCGACACGCTTACGACGACGTTGGCTGAGAGAAGACGCGTTTTCCCGTCGACGTGTCGTTTTGTTGCATTGCCGGCAAGCCTGAGCTATTTGCGATTCTCGTCCCCGCGACGGAGGGGAGCACGAGGGAGGAAGAAGAGAAAGGAGCAAGCATTGTTCACATTCTGAAATGGACGCCGGAATTTTTTCACCGACCTGTGACGGGGCTCAAATTTTTCTTCCTCTCGCGTAGCGAGCTGTGTCTGATGAAATACCTCGTTAATATACGGCGCGCGCCTCCGAATCATCTCTCGTTTATCGACCCCTTGGGAAATTTCGCGGCCGATCTGATACGTCATTTTGGTCCATTTCCTATATTACGCTCGTGGACAAGGAATATGATTAAATTTGATCAATGACGTAATATAATTAACATTATATAATACGATATGATGGGACATGGCACGATACGAGATATGGTGTGATATGATTCAATTAAACTATATTAAATTATATCAGTCTATGCGCGGCTTTCCGTAGTTCTCTCTCTCTCTCTCTCTCTCTCTCTCTCTCTCTCTCTCTCTCTCTCTCTCTCTCTCTC